GCTTCAACCCTAGATGGCAGCCACAGCTAAGTGATTTTAGACAACAACAAAATGGCTATAACAGTCAGTTTTACAGACATTTACACAAACATTGATGTGGTAGTAGCTGAAAGTCACTCTCAACACAGAAGTTTGTTGGATACTCTGCAAGAACTAAGAAAATTGTTTTTCTTGAGATGCCAAGAACAAAAGCAGAAAGGCTTCTTTGTACTTCACAAGAAACTTAAGTGCAGAACTCTTGAGAAGTCCACCTAGTGGGAATGTGAACATTTCAACATGTTCATGTTAACCGTGCAAACCTCAAATTTCTGATCCATCGCTCGGTTGTTGGTGGATACAACACAAGAAAAACAAGTTCTGCCCACAAGATGTGTCAAGAACAAGATGCAAGAACTCCTAATCCAGGGCTGTAAGCAATGTGCAAGCATTAAGTGTAGAACCATTAGACTGAGGAACAGCTTCTACCCTGAAGCAGTTAGACTCATAAATCCCTAACCAGAATGACCACTGTAATGCCACTTTAATTGGTAATATGTAACTTTGAGCTGCTGATTATCCATGCTGCTGATTTATTGTCTTTTTTTTTTTGGGGGGGGGGGGGGGGGGGGGGCTGAGATTGTCATCTTTGTATGCTCCCATATAATGGCGAAATTAATTCTCTGCATTGAACCCATCCCACCTGAGATACACCCAGGTGGAGCAGTGGGCAGCTATATAAGCGCCCGGGGAGCAATCAGGGATTAGGTGTCTTGCTCAGAAACATCATGACATGTGGGAATAGTGGGGAGTCAAACCACAACTTTCTGGTCCCCGGTTGGCTGCCCCTACCCCATCTTGGCAGTATCTTAGGTCCTTGTATACTGTTTCTTATTATACGTTATATTTTTTGCCATTTTTTGGTGTAACTGGGACCTTGAGTACACCTTCAGTCCACCTCATACACATGTGATGCAAATGGCAATAAAGAACCTTGAACCTCACTTTAGCATATACTGTTGTCAGTTTCTGCAGTACGAAGTGTTGAACCCAAGTGCAGGAGGACGACAGGAGGCTCGTGGAAAAATTCAAAAGTATTTATTTTACAAAAAAAAACAAAGCAAAAGATGACAGGGCAACATACCCACGAGAAAGCAGGACACAGGACGAAATGCAGAACACACCATGAGGACAATCCCGAGACAAAGACAAGACACCAGTGAACTGAATATATACACACACATTGATTAGGACAACGACAGACACCTGCGGTGATTAACATGAGACACAGGTGAGACAGGGACTGAACACAAGGAAGGAAAACACTGAGAGCTGGAAACATGAAGAAACAGATAGAGACGGGACCAAAACCCCACAACTGTATATCTGCATTGCTGTTTTTAAGAACACACCCAGACTTGTTTTAATCAGTTTTTGTCATGTACAATTTGACCCACATACTGAGACCAGGTCCTTTATCTAATCTGGGTGCTCATCCTGGCTATGCAATCCACAAACACTCTTCCATGAAAGCTGGTGGCTTTGTGGTATCAGAATTCAAGTGTTTTTTTCAATAAACACCATTGTCATCACACTCAGCACCGTATACTCCCCAGGTTCCCCACCCATGTTACTCATGCTGCACGTTACACACCACAAACAACACACACCATCCCAAATGTGGATTTACTGGAGACTAAATTCATTACAGGAGATCATGATGGTAGTATCTGAGTCACCACGAAACAATGAAGTTGGCTCAGACATTCAAAAGAGCTAATAAATGAAAGTATTACTCAGCTGTGACGTTTTATGTGTCAAACTGGGGACAGGTGTTCATGTCTGAGCAACAGCAGATTTAGGCTGCTTCGATTGTCCTTCCTGCTCATAATGAAAGTTTCTAAAATTTGATGCAATCAAAGCTTTATAAAACTAAAATATTAAAGTTAAAATACACATTGATTTCACATTGCTCTCTGTAAGCATCTTTGTCAGACATCTATTTGCTTTGTTTGGTATAAATGCATTATTTGCTTCATTTAAAGATTGAATTGTATTTGAACAGAAGGGCTTATTGATACTTTAGATAGGTGGATATCCCTTGATGGCAAAGATAACTTTAATCTCCAGGAATAATGTGAGTTATATGCAGAATATTTTACTTGATGAAGTGTTACCTCCAGAAAGAATTATTTGACTCCTCCAGGCTTACACAGTTTATGAAATATGAGTCATCTTCGCTCTCCTCCAAATAATGATGGTATGACAGATTAGATCTTCCAGCCTGACACCTGCATCTGTACATGTGAGAAGTACCTGTATTATTTTTACTCCTCCAGGCTTACAAAGTTTAGGAAATATACATGCTGGGAGTCATCTTGTCTTTCCTCCAAATAATGATGGTATAACTGATTAGATCTTCAAGCCTGACACCTGCGTCTGTACATGTGGGAGCAAAGAGGTATTATTTTTACTCCCCAAATATAAAGCAGTACTGTCAAAGCTGAACCTTATCACTTTTTCACCTATAGATTGTTTGACTCATTCCTTTTCTTAAACATGCATTTGTGCCAAGCTTAATCCTGTTTGCTGATTTTTCTCCCAAGTGGACCACTGGTGATGTTCACCCTCATTGTTAGACTCATGTAGTGGCTCTGCTGTGTGTTGGTGCTCATTACGGTGAGGAATCATTCCTGAGGAAACAGCTGCACCTCAACAAACTGTTTTTCCCCACAAAGCAGAAAATAGATGGCTGTGCTGGTTAGGATGCCTCCTGGACGCCTCCCTGGTGAGGTGTTCCAGACATGTCCCACTGAGAGGAGACCCAGAGGAAGACCCAGGACACGCTGGAGGGACTATGTTTCTCGACTGGCTTGGGAACGCCTCGGGATTCCCCCAGAGGACCTGGCCCAAGTGGCTGGGGAGAGGAAAGTCTGGGACTCCCTACTTAGGCTGCTACCCCCGTGATCCGACCCTGGAAAAGCAGAAGAAAATGGATGGATGGAAATCTGAAAGAAAATTTTATTTATTTATTTTTTAGCTATTTTACATTTTTGTTATTTTATTTGTTTAATTTACTAGTAAGTTACTTTGAATCTCATCATATAACATTCCTCCCTTTTCTTTCACTTGGCATGCTCCTATAGATAGATAGATGGATAGATACTTTATTAATACCAGAGGGAAATTTGAGGCATCCAGTAGCATGTTCTAATTAAACAGAACCCCCCCCCCCACATATGAAATAATCATAAAAGAAGCAGAATACTGTACACAAATTTGGAAAAAGACAATATGCACATGCACAAGGTGGTAACTAGTTCTACATTTATGATTAACCCATGTATATATATATTTTTTTCATTCATCTTTTTAAATTTTTTATTTATCTGTTACTTTATTTTAGAGGTTAATGTTAACTGTTGATTGTATTGGTTAGTTTAAAAATAATGACAACTCTTTATAGTCAGGGCATCAGGCACTTAACATATAGGTTTGATTTTTTTCCCCCTGAAGTTTAGTTAACACTGTAACTACCGTAATAATGTTTTGCAAAATTCTCAAGCCATAGCAAAACGTGTAGAACCTCCCGCTGTTGAGGAACAGTCAGCACAGTTTGTTTTGAAATGAAAGTTGAGAGAAGATCAAAAAGTTAAGCTATATTTTATCTTCTAACCAGGTTTTCCATTACCAATTTTAATTGCTCACCAAAGATGTTTACAAACCCAAAGGGTCAGAAACATTTTTTTTTTTTTTTTTGAAGGTCCTGATATAAACTCAATCATCCTGGTAAATAAATCCCAAAAAGTTAAGCCAGGTCATCTGGATGAATTGTTCTTGGTTGAAACGTTTCGTCTTTCATACGAAATACTTCATCCGTCTGAGGCCACGTTGTTTGAGTTTACTGTTTGGTGACAAATTCAGATGTTTTATGGAGTAAGTTTTTAAAATCCAAATATCTAAATGTATGCATTGCACAAGACAAGAAAAAGCTGCAAATATTCATAATGTGTAGCTGGATCAGTGAGTTCATTTTGTTGTTGCTTAAAAATACTTTAACATGTACCCTGTTTGAGTACCTGTTCAGGTAACTGCTCTGCACTGTGGGTAGTTGAAGTGTTTGTAAGTTTTTACCACCAGAGGCTCTCAACAGTCTCGCAGCAGATTTTTTTCAGTTTGATTTCTTTCAGGAAACCAAATATAGGTGAACAATGAATACAAAGTAATGTTTAATGTTTTTCATATTATAGCATCTTTAAGACCTACCAGGAGGGAAGTGAGGAAACTGTAAACGACAGGCGATTTATTCATTTTCTATCTGGCTCCAGCACAAATTGGTATAATTATCTTTTTTAAATGAATCAGTTTGGTAAAAGACAACACAATTAACATATTTTACTGTAGCATGTTTACGAGGAGCTGGTGGTAAAAACCTTTTTGTAAAGACAGTCTAATTTGTCATCACATAACTGAACTGAGCATTTTCTCTGCTAACACTGTTGTTTTAACTGAATTTTATTACAACAGATCAAACTACTGTTAGCTGATTATTGTTAATCTCTGTTTAGGGTACAGTTCTGTTTAGTTTTATGTTCTGTATTGTCTTCTTCTCTCTGCCTCTGTTTCCTGTGCTTCTCACTGTCACGCTTGTGCCGCAGCTGATGGTGTTGGGTGGAATGAAGCTCAACGCTCAGTTTTTAAATAGCATCCTTGCCCGAATCAGTCATTCCTAATATGGCAGAGGGCTTTGACACTGGCCCTAAAATATCAGCCACCACCTCACTGAAAATAAAACTTTTCCTTGCCTTGATTGCAAAATATAGAATGACTGATGGTGGCTGGAATACTCAATACAAACTACAAAGAACTATCACAAAGCTCGTAATATGAAATATATTTAAAGTCACTTTTTCAAACCGGATTTTGGTGTTACTCCTGAGCAGCATGATGTCAGTCTATATTATGGATAAATCTGAAACTATGTTTGAAACTATTACTCTTTACATGTATTGAATTTTGTTTAGGATCCTTGTGGGGGCACCGCAGGCAGCCGGACAGGGCCTGCTGAGGGGAAGTCGACCAGGAGCTCTGTTCAGATGTCCAATCACACCGGAGGAGTACGACTGTGAGAGGGTTGACATCGATGAAGACAGTAAGCTTAGCTTTCAGCTAAAACAAATCACATGTTCAAGAATTTGCAAAAGTGATTATTTGTGCCAGTATACTTGCGATCGGTTTCCATTACCAATAAATCAGGCTGCAGGATTTGTATTAATTTATTTAACTTTTAAAATTTAAAGTCCTTTTGTAATGCATTTCATGAAAAGTGTTGTTAGTCTTAGCTCCACTCCAATTGATTATCAGTTTAGAAACCATCATCAGTCAATCTGATATTTACTTCTTTGTTGTCACTCAGTAAATCTTGACAGAGAGAGTAAAGACAACCAGTGGCTCGGAGTTACCGTCAAAAGTCAGGGGATTGGAGGCAAGGTGGTGGTGAGTACTGAAAGGATAATCAATAAATTACATGTAAACATGGTTTTTAAGTGAGTCACATTGAATGAATGTCAAACTGTATAACCATTAATGTCCATCTGGTGTTCCACACATAAGAGTTCTTATTTTCCATCAGACCTGTGCTCACCTGTACGAGCTGAGGCAGCGTGTGAGTCAATCTTCTGAGACTCGAGATCCCATCGGACGCTGCTACGTCCTCAGTGATGACCTGTCGAAGCGAGACGACCTGGATGGAGGAGAATGGAAGTTCTGCGAGGGTCGGCCGCAGGGACACGAGCAGTTTGGGTTCTGTCAGCAGGGCCTGTCTGTCAGTTTCACTCCGGACAATAACTTCATTCTGTTTGGGGCTCCAGGAACGTACAACTGGAAAGGTAACACGTCGGACTGAGAATGGCAGCAATTTCCCTGTTGAAGTCAAAAAGTTGTATGTTTTATTAGTCTTAAACCTCTTTCAAGAAAACCAAGCATAAAAATAGTTTGTAAAAAGCTTGGCTGGAAATGGCTTTTTTTCCTTTCTTCCAGGTAATAGCGACATTACAATCAATAAGGTACTTTATTAAAGAAGTTGTGAAATAATTAAAAAATAATGATTGTCTCACTTGTAAGCTGTAGGCCAGGTAAAGTGTTCAATTAATGTATTACTACAATTAGTATGATGTTTGTATTTTATAGACCAGTTCACTAATTGAACACAGACACAAACAAACATTTGCATGCATTTAATTAAAATAACTTTTAGTTTCAGTATCTTCATAAAATTCCACTGTTTTAATTTAAAAATGTATTTTGCTGTCTGCCTTATTTTATGCATTTCAGATTTGAACACATTTGTTTACACTCAAAGAAGTTGACAAATAAAATACAGTAGTCCCTCGTTACTTGACGGTTCGTTTATTGCGGACTCTCTCTATTGCGGTTTTTCAAAACAAGATTGGACAAGACACACAACTGGCTGATTGATGGATGAGCCGCATGATCGGCATGGAATTTTTATTTAAAATAAATTATTTTAAATTATTTAGCACCTGCTGCACCTTTCTGCAGCCCATACTGCAGGATGAACTTCCTGCTGCAGCTGATCAGCTGTTCTCTGTGCAGAACGCTGAAGTGGGCGTGGCCAAGAGTGCCTGCAGGTGGCTGAGAGCGGTGGAGTCATGGATCTGAAATCCTGACATTCTGTGCTCTTTTAGAGTGTTTAGAGTTTGGAAACATTGTTTAGAATACTGCAAGAGTGTGGAAA